TATGTGAAGTGTCCTTTCTGGATATGGCTCTCAACAATTTCCTGTCCTTTGGAGCATTTATTAGATTTTGTCTTTTCACTATCTCTCCTAATCCCTGTTCTGCCAACCATTGACACAAGTTCATTAGGTAGGTTATGCACTAAGTTAATTTTGAGAGGTAATGACAGCAATAGTAACAACAATACATAAATGCTGATGTTCTACAAAAGTATGTGCCTTAATTTCATGAATTATTTTGGTAATAACACTTATGAAAACCAATCATTGTAAAAGATATAGTTAATGTTTAAGCAACTGATATCTATGTGTGTGCATAGCTGAAGCATATCATTTATGGCTGATGCAAACAGCTGGTGCTATTCCTCCTGATATCATTGCTAAAGCTTACATGATGAACTCTTCCACCTCCTTCTCAGAATGATGAGTTGAAGAAATCATCAAGGTGGTTCATGTACCAACTAAAGCTGCTTATAGAGAAAGAATTAAGTTTTTTTATCATATGCTTCTCAATGAAAGTCAAAGGTTCTGTCTGAAGTCTGAGATGCTGTATGAAACACTCCCAACTTCTATCCCCAAAGAAAAAGACTTGTGTTATGTTAATTATGAAAACATATGTCTTGCCTAACTTCTGTGCCATCATGCATAAATTTTAGCCCTTATGACAATACAAGATTTGTATAACAAGGCCTAGAGAGGAAAAAAAAAAAAAAAATAAAAGTGAAGAAAATTTACAAGAAAAATTCCAATCTCTATAAATGTGGGGACGGAATTGTTTGTAGATTTAACTTACATTGTTATGGCTAGAGTTGGAAGTGTGTGTATTGTGTTTAAAGACTATGCTGATGGTGGTGTTGGAGAATAAAAAATGTTGATAGATAAAAGGTAAGCTTTTCAAATGTTGTTATAACTTTTTATCTCTCTCTTTTTGCCTTTCTTCTTCAATTCTAAATCCCAAAGCATCTAAGAATGTTAATACCATATTTCGGTAGGTTTGACGGATTAATATATAAAATCTTAGACTATTTAAGTTTTTAGTTTTTAGGAAACATTTTTTGAAAAGGAATATGGATTTTATGCAACTGAAATGACAGCACCAATCATGATGAAATAAAATACTGCTTAAAAAAAAGATAAAGAAGAAACCAATAATACTGATATAAACGCTTAAGATTATAAGATTCTTTATGGCAATATACAGAAAAAAAAATCCATATTAAATGAGGAGTCAAATCCTGAAACTTTTTCAAAGATTTCTTACTTCATAAAAACTTTATTCAGTCTGAAGCTTTTATCCCTTCCAAAAACATAAAAAGTAAAGCAAGAATGAAATTTATACAAAAATAGATATTAATTCTAAGACTTTATTCAAAACAGCATCCAAACTTTCAAGTGCAAATAAACAATGAATGAAGCAAATTTCATTTTAGATATATATCTACAAATAAAAAGCATAACTAGATGATAACGATAGTCAAAACTTGTTTAAATCTTCAAAAGAGCGAAAATAGAAACATTTATATTCAAATGTCATTAATCATATCTGTATTCATCAAGTCGAATTGTTTCAATTTGATTTTGAAACATTAAGCTTAAATCTATATTATATAGAAAATAAAAAGATTTCATTACTTTTAAAAAGTACCCAATTACTAGAAAATATCAGATTGTTAAGACGTTATTTGTTTAAATATTTCTATGATTTCAAAAAGTAATACAATTTGAAGTTTACAAGATAAAATTCAATTGCTACAAATATTTTAAGTGATATTGCTTGATCATGATTAGAAGAATTTCAGATTGTCATTGCCCCATGTCTTCAATAAAAAGAAAGAACAACATTTTCAGAAAAACTCATTCTTTTCACATAAATTCATTTGAAATGCATATTTTATAGCTCAATAAAAAGATAGTGTTCATATATTGTAATCAAAAGATTGGTTCATTAAGCTGTCTCTTATATAAAGTCAGTTTTAATTTCAGTCTTTGAGGAATCTACTTCCCTATACTCATATTGCAGTCTATTTTAAAACTCCAATATATGGTCTATTAATAGGTAGAATATGAAATGATGTTTTAGAATTTTTTGCTTTCATCTCTAAAATCTACCAGAATATAGTATTAATATCTTCATGGGATATTTAGGAAAAGACCAATTTAATTTGGCCATCACAAGGCAATAGTTATAGCAGTGAAAGGGTAAGAGGTAAGAAGCTCTTTTGAGAGAGACGTCATTTAAACCATATATGCTGCCATTGGGGGGGGGGTATTCTCAACACACTTTTTAAATCAACAGCTTATCAGTCAGTTATGTGCCATGCATGATACATGCTTCGGCAATCATGTGTCTTTCGATACATGACTGACGAGACAGATTTTTTTCCCGCAGTAGATTGCCATTTCTTTCTATGGTAGACCAGTTTCCATCCAAAACTATAGAACCTGGTTTATCTTGCTATTTACCCATAACTGGGGGTAGAAGAAGAGAATTCATACTTTTCCCAAGGGTATTAGCACGTAAGTGAATATAATGGATTCGAACTCAGCTCTCAGATTCCTCAATCTGAGCCACTATCCATTACTCCACCGTACATCCACCAACAGCTTATAGTATTACAAATTATAAAAACAGTGAAAAACAAAACAAAAGAAGAACTAATCATCCATTGCAAGACAATGTATAGTGATTAGCAAGAGGGACAGTACAGAATTTGGACTGTAGAGACACCAAAATCAAGCAAGTACAGAAATCTAACATCAGCTGGAATCTGAAATATCTGAATAGACCAGGACATTACTTAGCAAAATAATGCACAAATCAGATAATACAGAATCCAACAAGACCAACAAGAATTTCAAAAAGTCAAAGCTCAACAAATATGGGAAACTTGCATGGATGAAAGAACAGAGCTTCAACAGTAACAGGGCCCACCAAAGGTTGGTAAGAGCAGTCATCAATATCAGAAATTGGCAATTGAGTACCTCAGAGGAATTGGTGCTAAACAAGGGTCTCAACTCCATGGGTTCCATACTTAGACATGATATCGCTAGCAGCAACATATATTTTCATTCAAAATAGAAAATATATCTTTCAGGAAAACCTCTGTTATTTGTAATCAATAATGCCGCAGATGTTTGCTTAATAAACTGATAATTGGAAGATAAAATTTAAGTATTACATGAAAAGAATGGCAGATAAACTGAAAAAATAATAACTAATATCTATATATGTAAGTAATCAGTTTTCATAGCATACTGTTGTTACCTTATTTAAAAAGAGATAGTTGAAAAACAGTTGCATATTTGTAGCATAAGAGGATCTTTATTTTGATGTACTTTAAAAGAAAAGAGTTGGCCCATTGCTGCAAAAGGTGTGTATATATATATATATATATATATATATATATATATATACACACACACACACACACAGAGCTATAAGGGACTGTGTGGTTGAAAATTTCTGAGCTTGACTCGCTTCCTGAAACCTGACCAAACAACCATACATCAAAATTTTAAGAGAATAGTTTCTTGGACAGGCTGAGTAGTACCAATGTGCGTGTGTGTGCATGCACACACATATACTAAACTCACCAATTGTGTTTACCTAGTCTGATGATGACTTAAAAATCTTTCCTGTATTTTTCTTCTGAAATGAACATCAGACAATTTCTGATAGAATTTCCTCCTTGTCAGAGAAGGATGATTTGTAAATTGGAAAAGTCGATCATTAAAATGAATTGACTCAAAATTCCTGTCATTTTTAATAGCATCTGCCTTAAAAAATATGCTATGTGGACCAAAATAATAAGTTATTTTTGGAAAGACCTTTGTATATTATATCTGTATGTATACATTTTTAATATCTACACATAGCAATATATGAAATTATATTTACAATATAAATATGTAGTTTTCTTTTTGGGTATTAGTTTCTCTTATTGTAGGTTGTTTTCAAATGGTGACAAGCTACTTTGATTAGCTGTATGCTACTGAAGGTACCTTAATGTTTTATTGTAAGTTCTTATTGCAGAAAAAATTAATACATATTATATTTTCTATGAGGAAGCCAAGATAAATTTTATACCCTCTAAAAGAAACAAACTAACGTTTGCAATTAACTGCATGCTTTGAAAATAATATTTTTTATTGGGGTGGAAAATGATCATGAATTCCTGATGATCACTATTTTCATCTAATTTTTCATTCATTCACTAATTTTGTATATTACTGAAAAAAAATATTTGTAAAATCAAAAGCAAAATAAAGCTGAGATTAAAAGAAAAAATGGACTAATTACTAAGATACCATTTTTGGTGTTCTCTTTGAACTACTCATTAGAAAAATGGGAAAAAGGGTACACCCCCACTCGACCAACCTTTTTTTTTTTTTTTGAGGACAGACTCAAAAATAGCAAAGAAAAATAATGAATAAATGGAATCCATAAATGAATTGATCTAATTTGATCAAATGAAAACATTTTATATTGTATGATGGAAGAAAAAAATGTATGGTACATTTCATTAAAATAATAAAAAGAAAGTAACTTGATTTATTGTACATTTGTTGAAGAGGATGATTTAGCAACTGGATAGACATAACAAGACAGATGGTTAAATTCACAGAGCAATTAGAGAGATTTCTAGATTTAAAGAAAAGAGAAATAAGACAAGAAAAAAGTCCTTTAAAATATTTATTTCATATTGTTGTTATTGTTCAATATGGAAAATGGCTGATGTATGCTTGTGAAACATACACACAAACATTTTACCTGAAGAAGTTTAGATATTTTTGATCAGAATACAACAAAGGTTATATCTTTCAGAAGAACAACTAAATGTCTTATTACAAAACTGCAAAAACAATTTTCTTAAGTTGAAGAGAAACTTATATGAATAGCTTATTTGTAATAATTGGAATTATCAAATGCTGGTTCATCCAAATAAGATTGAGTAAGTTATTTCAAATGAAATAAAATGTAAATAAAATGATAGGGTGTTTACCTCATCACCTCCTCTATTTCTGAATCGAAGCCATTGGCCATTGTCCTCACGTTGGTACTCCAGCACATAGGCTTCAGTGTATTCCTGGCCCTGCAAAGTAAAATGAATACAATATAAATCAAGAAGCAACAATAAAACTAAAATATTAGAGAGAGAAACTCTGAAACACATGTTGAAATTGATTTTGAATATTGATAATCATCTCATATAGACACAAGCATATGAAATATCAGCTAAAGTTACATTTTTGATATCCTGATTTCAAAATGCTAATCATGAGTATGAGTGATTATTGGAAAAATATCAGTGTTTCTTATATCTGCTGACTGTATCACAATATATACAACAATTATGCAAAAGAAAAATAATTAAGCTAAATGTATAAAAATATCAGCAAAATAGTATGAGTGAAATACTATGACTAAATTATAATTGTTATCTATGCACACTATGATATTTTTTCTTTCCAACTCACTAACTATAACAGTAAAGGAGATGTTTGTATAACTAAAGTTATCTGGATGATACAAAAATTTTGTTTTCCTTTCTATTTTAGTGAAATTCTAATTGTGTTACAGCAAGCAAAAGAATTTTTGAGTTAATGATCTATAAAAAGTAATACTAAATATAATCTTATACACTTAAATATAGTTAATATAGGGTTGTCACATGATAAGTGCCACTAGACACTACTTGTCTTGTAGCTATAGAAACCAGCTGTCTCTTAAACAAGACCCTCAAATATACATAAATACCAAGTGACAATATCCCTATCATTTAGCTTCTGGTACTGAAAAATGAAATGAAAATCAGTTTATTTCTGAGTAACACCAAGTGAAAGTGATTATAAATTCCCAGTATTGGTCACAATTTTGAATCAAATTTTCAAGAAAATGTTCTTGAGAAAATAATTCGTTAATAAAAAAAGAAAAAAGAAAAAAAAAAGAAGCTTTTATAGAAAGCAGACAAAATGCTGACAGACAAATGCTTAGAAGTGTAAAGAATATTTGAATAAAGCAGAGGAAGTCTTTAGTAATTATTTATTGCTATGTTAAATCTTTTAAAAACCTTGTGTATTGTTTTATTTTATGACCAGTTTTTTTTTTCTGATTAGAAAATCAATCCTTGTTGTGTTGCATTTGTTAATAAGTAGAAATGATAATGCTGCACTAGCTTCAGTAGTTTAAGGTTTTTAAAATGTCCCTTTAACTTGGTATTTTTTTTTTTTTTTAGATATCTCTTCATAGTTTTAGTATTCATGATGGTGATGATAAATACAGATACGATGATGCTGATGGGATATGTGTGCAGTATAGTGGTTATTGTTGTGGGAAAGTGGGATTAGTGTGCCATATTCAAATTCCACCTAAGCTCATTGTGTGTGTTTCCACACAAATACCCTTGGAAATGTAGTAAAATCCATCTCTTCTTCCCACCAGCTATGAGTTAAATAAGAGTCGAGAGTAGGCTACAAAAAAAAAAAACCTACTTCACTATGGAAAATGCAGCAATACTGCTTCATAGTAAGGCTATGTCCCTATAGTACCTATAGGTGAGTCTACAAGATCTACAACATCAATGCTGATGATGATAAGCTGTTGATATGAAATTTGCAGTCATGAGATTAATCATAAAAGAAATGTCTCATCTTGTTATATTTATAATTCAACAAGAACTTACAGTCAGCTACAAAAAATAAATAAATAAAAAATAAAACTTGCTCAATAAAAAGAAAGTTTTCAAGGTCAAGAATACTGTGAAAATATTTGTAAAATCTTGAGAATAATAAACTGGGCTTCTCACCAGTACAACCCTGGCTACAAGCATGATTAACACCAAGTGCCAATGAACTGAAAGAGTGTAAAGAAAAAGTGCCAGAGAAATCTGGATAAGAAGCCATGTGTTGAAGCAATTTGGAAAATTAAACATTTAATAGAAATTTTATGGTTAAACAAGAGGACAAAGAAACTTAAATAGATACAGAGGCTATAAATGTTAGTAATTGGTTTTCTTAACTCTGTACATCTATCACTCGCTGACATCACCATGCACTTTACTAGCTTTTCTTTCAATTTTTAAGGGTTGGAATAATATCTCGATATATTCACTAGAAATTCAGTTAGTCATTTAAGATAGAAACAATCCTTCTGTCAAACAATTATTCTGTGCTTCTCTGAAATTGCTCCAGCCCCACCCTTTAAATAAAAAAGTCTAAATTTCTCAGATATCTTAAATGCAGTTATTTTTTTAAACGTGTAAGATTAAAGTCCTACATATAATACAAACTAGGTTTATGACTAAATCATTTAAAACTGATTACTTAAGTAATAGAAACACTTACTTTCAATGCTAACTATTTTTTAATTTAAAATTTATATTTAATGATTTATATCATCCATTGAATTCAAACTGATATGCAACATAAATGGAACATCAGAAAATCCTTTTTGCCTGTTCTGCTTATTTTTCAAGTCCTGTCTTTTTAGAATTTGTTAGCCTTAATATAAGCTAAATTAAAACACATACACAATTTATATTATTTACATTGTTCGGACTGTTGTCCTCATCTTTATTGTCATGTTCACAATGTTTCAGCTGCTGTATGATCTGGTCTTCTTCAGATTCTTCTGATTGGAAATTCAAACTAAATCCTTTATTTAGTCCACCAGGGTAAATTGTTCTAGTTCCACATGTCATACCTCTTCCAGATGTCTCAGTTATCTCCTTTTGACTCAACTCTCCATGTTTTTTGTTCACTACTGTCGTAACCAGGCATTGAACTCACAACTCTTTGAGTCGAGTCACTGGATCCAACCAATGCTTTTATCCACTAAGCCATATGTTCTAAACATTGTGAACATGACAATAAAGATGAGGACAACAGTCTGAACAATGTAAATAAATTATTACAATACCTTATCTCAAAAATATAGACAGATACTTACACACTTAACGTAAACGCAGTGCTATTTTAACAGTGAGTAGAATTTCAACATTAAATACATTTAAATAATACAAAAGAAACTCAAATTTTACGTCCATCCCCTATAAAAAAACAAAAAACAAAAAAAAACAACAGTTTTTTAATTTACATAGAAAGGAAAGTGTTAATATAAGAATAACTGATAGTGCATTAATTAAATATTTAAAACTATGTAAAAACAAGTAATGAAAATTTTTCTGCAATTTGAGCAACCACAAGATTTTTCTTTCATTAAAGAGGAATTAAAATTCAAGGAAAAAAAATTTTTTTTTTTCATTTTGCTTTTGTTGATTTAAGAATGTTATTGAAAAAGTATGAAAAAATATAATCCAATAAGATATTTGGACAGTAATCCTACTGCAAAGTTTAACCACCATTCACTCACAGCAAATGGATGGTTGCAGATTAATTAATCTTTTAAGCAATTCATTTTATAGTCTTCTATAAATTACTTTGAGCAATTATCACTTTCATTTCATTTTTTTTTTTTTTTGTAATTTATTGTTATTTTGCATATTTACAAATAAATCTTTTAAACTGAATACAGCATAAGACTATGTGGGATAAATGGAAAGGAAGACTATGTTACACAAATTGATAAAATGGAACGAATCCCCTTGTCTTGAAAATCAGCATTTGAAATCCAAGCTTTTTATGAGGATTTGAACTCCAACCTCTGATAGTATTTCAGCCATGATGAACACAGTAATTTTTTTTTTACTCATTTTGAGTTAGATATAAACTTTTTAAAAATTTTTCATGATAATAATAAACCTTTACATTCAAAGAAATTAATTGTGGTTGTCATATACATGCTTTGACCACTGTATTCTCTAGCCTTCTTCAGGTGTCTTTTTGTACTCAATAACTCTCTTTGAATTTTGAACTGAACCCTTTATTCACTCTATAGGGGTAGATCATTCCAGTTTCAGGGCTAAGTGAATATCTCATATCAGTTAATACTCCTAGTTTATTTTGCTTTTGTGTCACTTGCCCACTTTTATTACTTTCATTGAACTAGAGTATATGACATTTCTGTACTATCTGACCAAGGAACTGAACTCACCTGCTAGGGAACAAAGAAATACATGGCCTAGTAGATTAAATCATTGGTTAAAACATATCTTGTACCCTTGCAGTTGTGAGCTCAATCCCTGGGCCAAGTAGTGTGAAAAAGTGACTTATCATGCACATTGTCAAAAAAAAAAAAAACTTTATGTCTTGCAATTTACTGGTATCTCTTACTTTAGTCAGAAGACTTTCATATCCCTTTCTACTAATTGGTTTCTGTTCCCATTTTGTTTTGTCAATGGCGATGCTGACTTAGCATTTCTTGAGCTCCTTTTAATCTACCTAACATGAAGTTTGTTTTAAATAAAACACTTCCAAATAATTATGATAGCTTATAAAATTTCCAATAAAATCACCTTTATGCTGAAAACTTTGTACCAAGTAATAAACCTTAAAACTGAAGGCCTTTAATTCCATTTTAACCTCTTGTGTTAGAATAACACAAGACAGAAATTTATTTTTCAAAAGGTAAAAATAAGTTACTTTGAAAAGCATGACTTAAAAATTAGCTTAATGACATTATATTAAATTCCTCTGAATATAATTAAATTCATATTTTATATTCAAACTAATTTTGCAAAAGAAAGCCAGAAAATGAAGGTTTTAAAGAAAATCATAACAGAAAAATGGCAAAAGAATCAGAATAAACAAGAATATATTAAATAGATGGTTTATTATTCCTAAATCATTTTACTGGTTTTGTGACTTTAGAGATAATTTGCCTCTTTGTAGCTTTGAAATGTGACATGATTTGGGTTTTTTATGCAATTTCTATTAGGAAAGAAAAATACTAAGAAATTATGTGTTATGTCTTTTCAAGAAATGGGTAATAATAGCTCTCCACAACTTCCTGTATTTTTTTGCTCTAAGTAACTTTTGACTCATTACCATTCCTTTGTCCTTGTTCAGCTATCCATTCATCCAAACTTGCCAAGTAGGCCACTTTCTGTTTCCCTTGTTTCTCTTGCCTTCAATGTTTTGTTATTGTTAGATTCTTCAAACCCTTTCTCCTCATCAAATTTCCCAGAAATTTCAT